GGCGCCTCCAACTAGGCTCAAAGCAAGTTCGAGCCAGTAATTAAGGGAAACAAGCCAAGCTTCTTTTGTCTCAGATCAAGTGAATACTACGAGAAGGATGGTCACCATAATTAGGCATGGTGAGAGCAATTAATTGAATAAAACATCTTGCTTTGCCTTGAGGCTCAACCATCAGGCTTTGCATCAACGGAATGACCTACGGTTTTTATGCACTTTTATTTACAGTGTCGAATACCATTAAACCCTTTTCCATGAAGCATTTTCCCTGTTGGTAACTCCCCATGCGAAGCTATTGTTTTGGCTCTCACTTCATTTCTTTTCGATCACAGGCTCATGTGACTGAGGAAATGATTTGTTTGACTCTGAACCAAAATATCAAGAAGTTGTTCCAAAGCGATCATTCCAAAAATTCTGATTTTTTCAATACACTCTGTAAACTGCATCGTTCTGTTCTGGTTGCTTCTTTTCAGGCGAACCTAGTCAGTGTCGTTCTGCCGTCGGCCTTGTGCTGGCCAAAATCGCCGAAGACCCGCAATCGGCCAGTTGCCCAAATATCTCGTACATAAACACACCTGGCCCAGTCGCCAGCGCTCATCCCACCGGCTCCCCATACGCCATTGTCATGCATCCATCTGGTGGCGCAGGTAGTGCCGGCACCGGCGTCGGTGGGGCCAGTACTGGAATGGGCCACACGGTGAGTGGCGCTGGTGGTGGTGTCGCGGGCACGAGTGAACCGGTTGGGGGTGCAGCTGCTGCCGCGGCTGCAGCTGCCGCCGCCCTCGCTGGCGTTGGGGGCATGAGTGGTGTGGGAATGGGTCCCGGTGTGATTCGACTGCATCATCCATCACCAATGCACCATCCACATTACCACCATCATCACGCACCCTCCCACGGACCCCATTCTATCATGGGGCCTCATGCGTCACATTCTCTGACTGCCGGTGCCACTCATGGACCTCCGCCCCCGCCACCTCCAACGGTACCAGGCCGATCGGTTCATCACTTTCCACGAGGGCCCTCCGACATCGGTATCCAGGGGCCTGGTACATTTCATCTAGAGCCAGGCGCCACTGCATTCGGCCTCGTTGGCCCACCAGGCCTGCTGGCCTGCTATCAACAGCCGCAATTGATGCCGACGCTGGGCGCAGCGCGACAACAGCCCGGGTTTCAGCATTTGGCTCCACTCCAACTCGCACAGGCCACAATGCTGGGCGGTGTCGGCGGGACTGGCAATGGTGTCGGAGACTCCGGCTCTCCCGACTCGGCAGCATATGCCACCACGGACACTGCCTTCCTCTTGGCCAGCTATTATGCGGCAGCAGCAGCAGCAGCAGCTGCCACCGCGACTAGCGCCGCTTCGACGGGCATCGGTGGCCAGGTTGGGCTGTCCGACAGTTCGCCACCGCCATGTTCTCTTGCCGGTCTGGCCGGTGAGGCAACATCGTCCGGCACAATGGGCCTTGGCATCGGATTGCCGGCGCAGACTGGCCCATCCTCAGCAGAAGTACTCGCCTCGGGAGTGGCTACGACGACGACAGTGATGACGTCAAAAATGGTGACTTCCTCTGCACCACTCGGCTCTGGCGGTCAGGGCATCAGTGGCGGCATAGTTGAGGGTGTTGGCAATGGAGGCGGTGCCAGGAGCTCTCCGAGTCCAACATATCAACTGGCAGGGCAAGCAGGCTTTCCAATTGGCTTTCTGACTCAGCTTCTGTCGTCAGGACAACAGCCTCAACAGCACTATCCACATCCTCCACATCAGCAACAGCGGCATCAGACACACCAGCAACTCTTGTTGCAACAGCAGGCACAAGCATCATCGGCCATGGCAGCGGCTGCCGCAGTGGACTCACCTTTGGGCCTCTATCCGCTCCCTGCGCTCTATACTGGGTTTCCGCGCGTGCCACAGTTTTTGGTAAGCTCTTATCCTCGTTTTCAGGACTACCGGTGGATCTGATAACATACCTTTACTCACCATATTTCATTTGAGGTAATAATTGGACTCGCAGTTGAATTTTGCCATAATGCTATGGTTAGGTACCATTTTTCCTTGCTTCCCAAAATATATTCTCATCCGGACAAGAGTCGACCGCAGTTTCGACCTCGCCCCTACTGGTTTCATGCACATTCTCGGTGGGACTCGAGCCCAGGCAGTGCAACGTACAGTCTCTACACATTGACCACTATGCCACTCTTCCACGAATGACTATAGTAAATTTCAAAAGGACCCTGGCCTTCCTATTACATTTCTGTTGTGGGATTTTCGACGAAGCAAAGTTGTATTTGCTATAGCAGTCGAGTATATACTTATTTTTCCCTTCATAAGTATGTTTTCGAGACTCGAAATATCTTATATAAGAGCTGTATTTATTGAACATTCAACTATCACTTCTTCATAATCTTAAATGAAATATGGTGAATACAACTATTTTAAGCTCTTTTGTTGCAGTCGAATTATGCTCATTGTAACGTATTGGTATTGATCTCTTGTGTGAAACTTACACATCAACAGGTCTCGTGAAACCATTTACCGCTACTCAAGGCTTCATCGTGTAGGAAAAGTTGATTGGAGGAAACTCGTTAATTGGCTTCACTTGCAACCAAAGGAGAATTGCACTTGAGTTTAGTGAAGACTGTTCGACTTTGGGATCAAGTCTGGTTCACCGCTCTCAGACCCTGATGAACCCGGACTGAGCTTTCGCTTGTCATGTGACTGACATAGCCAAAGCAAGAAACTACTCTTTATTGAGGTTGTTTGACCTTGTTTTCGCAACATGGTCATATTGGTAGGAAGACT